CCCCGTCCACCGCATATCTTGGGTAGCGGTGATTTCAGTCTTTGTCTTCCCGAGGCCATCAACTAGCCCGGCACAGGCCATTCCCCATTTACTTCGAAAAGGTGTTAAGAAAGCAAACGAAAGTAGGGGATGTAGATATATCACATTTAAGAGAAAAATTAGAATAGCACATTTAATTTACCATTGAAGTTAAATTGAATGACCACACAAATCCAAGGAACTTGACGGAATCTTTCCCGCACAACTACAAATAGATAAGTAGTACTCTCTCCATTTGAGTGTTTTTATACCAAAACGGAGCTGGTCCGCTCATGCGACACCAAAATATTTAAAAACTTCGTTTCTTCTAAAAACTCTAGAGGGGCTCATTGATGAATATAAAAAGTTACAATCTATCCTCGAACCGACATATTCCAAGGGAGTTTTCCTCTATATCGAGGGAGCCTTCAATAATCTCTATCCTGAATCTGTTGTGAAAACTTTTTCTGGGGGTGGTTGGTGGTTGCAACTCGTCTGGTGGATTCTTGGGCTCCTTCTGGAATAGACCAATATTATTACAGAACTAAGGGACGGTTTCATAACTAAGTATGTGCACAGAAGAGCGTTCTCTTCCCTCTACTCTGGAATCAAACCGTTAATGCCACACTTCTAAAGGGCACTGGTTGTCAAGTCATAGCGTATGCTAATGATAAAGCAATCGTAGGAACGAGTAAACATCTGCAGGTTCTGAGTGAGTTATTACGAAATGCACTCAGTATTGTAAAGATCTAAGGATAGAAATCCTTTATTTAAATATCCCACATTAAGAGGGCTAGAAATTACTCTCTCAATGGATACCTGAGAGTCATTCTACGCGTGAAACTTGACTGTAAGCCAAACATCGAATATCACTTCAGGACGGCAAATAGCGCCCCATATGACTGCAGACGACTATGGGCAAACAATAAGGAATAAAACCACAAATAGATCAGTGGATGGTGTGATAAGACCCAGGGTGACCGTATGGTGGCTGGCGTTAAACAAGACTTTGTCCAGAGCCAAGTTGGAATGGGTAAAGAGGACGGCCTCCATACTTGTCATGTGAGCCCTGAGCTGTACACCCACCAAAAAACTGAGCTGTACACCCACCAAAAAAAAACTCACTCGGAGGTTAGACATTTAAGGGAGGGGCTTTTACAGCCTAACGTCTGCCTCCGCTAGCAGTCCCGCTAATCTAACCAAACCTAAAGGTGAATGACACGACACGCATACATTCGTTAAAATCCTTAAAAATTTTATGTGTCACTGCACATATGTATGTATGAATGTAAATAAAAATGATGACTAGTATTAATATTGTCATAAATCATCAACTTTCACCTACCTCTATTAAAGGTAAAAAAAAACAAAATATTTGATACAAGAGAGTAAACATTTCTCTCAATACTAAAAATAAACAGAAAAAACTTGGCACTAAAAGTTTCGTACTGCAAGGAAAATAGGAAAATGTGTGTTGCCGATTCCGTTGTTCTGCAATGCCTCCGCTTCATGTCCCTTTGCATACGGTCCTTCCAAAGGTGTTTGTGTGCGCCCTTGCTTTAGTTGCCCACCTATGACCCCTGAGCCCAAGCAACATTTTATCGAAGCGTCATCGTTCATGCGTAGATCCAAGGCGAATTTATACAAGGTGGTGTTGATGGCGAATTAAATTTTCGCCGCGGTACTACTGAATGTCAAAATGAGGTGTTTGTTGTAAACAAGGCGAATTCATTTTACAACAAACACATCATTTTGACATTAAGACGTACCTCGGCGAAAATATAAATTCGCCATCAACACCACCTTGTATAAATTCGCCTTGCGTGGATCAATAAGTTTCGTCAATATTCTTAAGCTGCAAAAACCGCGCTAAAGACCATGGCGATGTATGTATTTCGTGCCTTCGCGGAAAACATTCAGTGGACAAAGAGTTCTAAAAGTGGATGCACTTCATGTTATCTTGAAGATTGCTGACTGTGGGGGACGAAGCTAGCCCTTATACTATGGCAGAGGTTGGGAGAGGATGCCCTCAAGACGGCTTACGCGGATGATGCTCGTGATCCATAATCAGGTAAATCTCTCAGGGAGGTCTTTGTTAAGACACAGAGAATCTTGAATAAGATTTAAGAATGCCGGATCTTGCTGTCAATCCCAGCAAGACAACCCGAGTAGGGTGTTTAGACGGAAAATAAAATTAGAAAGTCTCAAGCTTCCTGTGCTTAGAGGCGTAAACCTCAGTCTATCCGTGGATGAGAAATACCTAGGGGTAACTATAGACACGAAGCTGATATGGAAAGAGCGCTGAAAGTTTTCGAACAGTATCGGAGAACTTTTAGTAAGACCGGGCTAATGTATTCTGAGTATACTTAGTTTTCATCAGTAGTATGGTGGCGCAAGGTTTCTTTGTTAAAAAGGCTATACAAAAGAGCGTGTGTATAGGCAATATGGTCGCCAGCTCCGGCTCTTAATGCTTTGTTGAATTTGCTATCTCTCTTATGCAATGTCAACGGTCTTTCAATCGAAAGTTTCTGCAATACTGAGAGCGGCAGACTGGATAATTGGCGTAAGGTGGCGCGGACATAAAATGAGGATCTGCAGTGACAATCATCTGCTGTTAAGGCCTTGGAAACCAATCGCATCCTTTCAAAGCTAGCCGAGGAATATAAGTTGAGGCTGAGCTCCGTTACAAGGTGGAAAGAGCTTGAATTTGTGAGAGTGTCAGGACGAGATACATTCTATTTCTCTCAACAAACTGCTAAGATTCATTCGCAGAAGAGCAATGAATTCCCACCCCATTCCCTGAATCTATGCCTCCTTAAGTACAATGGGCTATACTGCCCATCTTGTCTTGTTTACAACTTCTTTGGTTTCAAACGGCTCGGCGAGGTTCCCCGCAATTTGGATGGAGCTACTAGCTTTGAAGGATGCCAATTTAAACGTGGATAATGCAAGCAGCTCTCCATACTATCAAAAGTGAATAAGTACACTCAGAAAAAGTCTTCCAAATATATTTCTCTCAACACATGATTTGGTAACTATAACCAATTCATGTGTTGAAAAAAACATATATATGTAGTTGACATAACTAATCTCTTTTCCCATTGTAGTCTGTGTCGATAGACTTATACACAATTTGGCGCCTTATGAAAATCCTCTAATAACATCCCATCAGTACGTTTATGAGCTGCTTCAGTCTTCTTTTTATAGTACAATATGTATATTGTGTCGAAAGTGTCAAGATAAAATAGAAAATTGTTCAAAACAACAGGATTGATTTTACAAAATTCGCTACGATTCCACTCTTTGGACAATCATTCATTGGGCTAGCTCTTCGTCGCCGGATTCGAATAGCTTAGCTGTTACACTGCAGGCTCCAGAGACCTTTCGGTTTTCAAGCAAATTTAGGCTAAACTCACGTCGCGACTTGTCGTCTTGACCGAGCTTAGGGATGCCAGCAATGCGCCTTTACGCTGGTGTAGACTTTCTTATTCAACGCATCAGCGGTATCGCCATGTTGCTTTGAGCATTTTCCCAGTCCTGGTATTGAAGCCCTTAGCTTGAAAGATATTCCCATTGAATTTTCGAGCTTTTTCTTTTCGATTAGCATCTCAAGCTATTTTTATTTTAAGCTCTATTTATTGCCCTCAATTCTGATGAATCCTTTTATTCGGCAAGTCAGTGCTGCAGGCTATCAAGTTTCGTGCTTCAACGAGCAGTCTCAGATATATTATTATGAGAGCGGAATCGACGGTGGGTTCGAAGATCCAATATTTGAAATTAAAATCGACAAGCCAGAATTGACGACGGAGTTAAAGACAATACTTTGCGATGGAGTCTCTTTCCCACCACAAATCTGATAAAATCGGTGCTCCTTCGCACGACAGCTCTACTTAACGTCCCCAGATTCTATTAGTTTCCTGTCTTGCCCCGTCCCGTTTCTTAGAAGGCGGTGATGTTTGTCTTTGCTCTTCGTGGGCAGGCGGGCATAGGCACATTTTCACGATGCCTTGTTGAACCACTTTCCGTCATCCCTTGTAAAATTTGGTTTGGAGACAAACCGTTCTTTCTTAGCCAGGTGCGGCTTAACGGATTCTATACACAGTAGTTGTTCATTCGAGTGCATTTTAAGGTGGGTATAAATCGGCTGTATTTTCAAAAAAAGATAACTCTTTGCAAGTTTGCCGTGATGAAAAGCCAAGGGTCTCATCCGAAGGCTTACAGTACTTTTCATTGAAAGTTTGCATTTTCGTAGTGGGTTCTCTATCCAATGCACAACCAGACCCTGAGCCCATCATTAAAATATATACTTATTAGTCGCTTGCTCCGAGACATACATCTGCCTGCAGCCGCACTTTATTTTAGACAGACTCTGCAGACTTCAGTGAACGCTTAAATCGATTCAGTCATTGGTTGGTTACCGCATCTCGCACATGGATTAGACACGTTACCAACGGCTAAGCTAGATTGGCCATTGGTGATAGTAGAAGAAGATGAAGTCCTCCTTGCGATTGAAAGACTAGGCATAGAAGGGCTTGATTTCACTTGAAATTTCCAATCGGCATAACTTGACATGAAAGGGAAGCGAGTGTTGTGCTGCTGCAAACTGACTTATATAAGTACATAAATACACACACATGAAAATGGATGTATATACGAATCGGTCAGTCGCTAAAATATTTGATATATCTTCATTTGAGATATCAGATATTAACCAAGAGTTTTCGAAAAATACATTGTCAGCAACTGCTAATTACTTAGAGTAAGGAATCTGTAAAGTTTACTTTAATTTTGCTTTTTTTCTTTGCTTAGCTAAAAGTTTTTGTGTATACCAACAAATCAAAGGAATAAGCAGAAATGATTAATCTAAAAAAATCACTATAAAAAAGGAGAGAAAATTAAATAAAGTGTACAGAAAGCGATTGGCAAAGCAGCAAACAATGTATTATAATAATAAAAACAAAAATAAAATCAATCACACACAGACAATTTAACAAAACTTTTCCAAACAAAGTTCAGTAGAAAAATAGTATTACAACCACAAATAAGGGAAAAATAAAACAACTACCACCAATCGCCCATCCCGTGAAAAAGTTGTGCTTAAAATATTAATTTACACGCATACATACATACATATGTACACATGTATATGCATGCAAGTGTATAGAGAGTGATTATATAAAGCAACACAATTAAGTGTACGGTGTTACCAAAATGAAAGTCTCGCAACATCTATAGTTATAAGAATAACATCAATTGGCAACCGTGGAGTCTGCAGTACCCGCCCATTGGCGTGGGCCAACAATTTCATAAGTTATAAAGCGACGCACGCAATCAACGACGTGGGCGATATCAATTACATTGATGGCAATGTGTTTGCTACAACACAGCATCTTAGTTCATCTACTAATTAAATATCTGTTGATCCTGTGCGAAAATGGCTTATTGACAACAAGCAAAACAACAGGTAAGTGGCCCTTATACATGCATACATACATACACATACTTGAGTATATAAACATAGACAATGTGTAACTAGTATGTTATTGATTAACTGATAGTGATAGGTTTCAATTACATAGATGCATAATATAATTATTTACTCACGAGTATAAAAGTATTTATTTTGAGTTGTGGTCATACAATAAATTTATCCGTATGTATCTTGGCGGTGAATTATTTGCAATAGAGATGTCAAAATCCAATAATCGATGCGGTTCAAAAATTCCACAAACTTTTCATCCCAGTTCCAAGCACACCGGGTATTTGCTAGTTGAAGATATTTTCGGGCCAAAGATTTCTCAAATTTCTTTTGTTTGATACCCATGTTGTGATGTTAAGCATTTGTTATTAATTAAATTTAATAGTAATTTTAAAATAGGTGGCAACCCGTCTAAAAATATTTTCGAAAGTAAACTCTTCAGTTTGACACCCGTATTGTGGTATTTTCTTTTATGTTATCAATTTAATTGCATTGAATTGGCGACCCTCGGCAGTAAAATTTCTTCCACCTCGTTAGTTTGATAGCCATATTAATACATAGGTATTTAATTTATTTTGTTTATTAAATAAAATTAAAACTTTCAAACAGGGGCAATCTTCCTCAAAAATATTTTCGGCACTAAACTTTCCTAAACTTCTTTATATAGTTTTATAGCAATATTCTTATATGGAATTTAAAATAAAATTAAAATTTTCAAAGAGGTGGCAATCCTCCTCAAAAGTATTTTCGGCAGTGAACTTTCCTAAACCTCTTCACATAGTTTGATAGCCATATTGTATTATTGTATTCATCTTGTCAATTAAATTGAATTAAAATTTAAAAATGTTTATTTATCATTATTTTCTTTTTTTAACTCACCTCAAAAGTAGTTTTGGCTATAAGCATTCTTACTTTATTACAATAGTTTTTTTATCTTATCAATTTACTTAAATCAAATTTATTGAACAGGTGGCAACTCTCTAAATTTTTGTCTTCTAAACAATTCCGGTATTATAGCGAACAAGTCAAGAAAACATCCTTTTTAAATCATTCAAACTGTTTACGAGTGTAAAAATAGTGTAAAAATAATTTTTGTGTGTTCTATTTCGGCATTTTAGTATGTCAAGTTTTAAGAGAAAAGGTTTATTCGTTGAAACCAATGTCCAGTTGCCACAGCAAATGTGGAAAGAATATTTTCCAAAATCAATTTGAACGAAACAAGAAATAAACTTCATCACTCTGTGGTTCTTTAAGAAATAAGGGTTTTCCTGAAAAAATGCTTCATGAGCTATTTAACTGAAGCTATAGAAACAAATTATCAAAAAAAATTAACAAAGCACACAAAATTAATACTGAATTTCAATAAAACAAAATGCGATTTAAACATCCCATTTTATAAAGTCATTCCATTTACAGGGTTGAGTATAACATCAAATACAATGTGCAAAGGCAACATTTTTTGGATGAAACTAAATCATATCAATCTAATTTGCATATTAAAAACAAATTATCGGTATTTCCATATGGCAGTGTTTGATGTTTTTCCCATTTTTTCTTTGCCTTTGTATGGGCAGAAAATAACATAAATAGCTATACTTTTAAGTTAATACTCATCGGTAAATTGGCTTTAGTTGTTCGCAATTCGATTTGCAAAAAGGTGCACGCAAAGTGAGAACAAAGCAGAAAGAGCAGTGTTTCAATAAAGGGCAAGCACGTAAGTTAATAAAAAATAAAAAATAGAATATAAGAGTTTTTGTTTGGGCAGCCGTTATTATGTCGTTTGACCTTCGTATTTAAGCAATAAACAATCATCATTGCTTTTGTGAAAAAAGTGAAGAATTCCTTTAGGAAATGGATATAAATATCGTCACCCTTATGCCAGAAGCCTGAATGTGCAAATTTATGAGTTTTGAGTTATTGGGTTGACTTGATTAGCCTTTGCATGTTCTAAATTATACCAACACCCAGAATACCATGCGCACACGGAAACTACATATTTTACCAAGTCTGCAATTCTCTATCTTTTGGTCGTATCATTGAATTACAGTTTCGACTGACCGGAAGTGCATTTTTTTTTTTTTTAAATAGGGTATATCTACCTGTTTTTACCAAAGATTCAGATTCTCCGCCTCTAAATGCCCCTCGAACTTAAACTTTTTATTGGAAAACGGAAAAATAGGATTCACCAAAACGGGGATGCTTTGTATTTTTCTCTGACCGGAAGCCCATTTTTTAAATGGAACATACATGTTTTTACCACAGATTCGGATTCTGTGGCCAAAAATACTTTTTTCTAGAATGGACTTCCGGCTAACATAATGGATTCCCGGCCTGTTTACCGCTCTTCTGGTCGAAGTCGGAAATCGGTTACGCCACCAGAGGGTAGAACGTCCCCGACTTTTGAATTAATAAACATTTTCGTCAATTTTCCAGGGGGTCAACTAAATATTACGATTCGAAACTCAATGCGATTCGAAAAGCGACACGGACCAATACAAATTCATAGTGCCAAGTATTCGAATCCCAACGATGTGCATTTCGAATAGCAATGCAGAGTAGACCCTCAGGACGAGTCGACTTTCGAAGTTTATTTAGAGATCTAAAAAGGCACTTCCGAAAAAAAGTTTTAAGTGAAAGTTACGTATTTCTATATGCAGACTCTGAAACTATGGTTAAAGGATGTACATGTATCCCGTTTAAAAAAAGGACTTCCGGTCAGTTCAAACAACTTCCGGTCGAACCCCGAAGTAACTAATACGACCAAAAGATAGGGCATCCCCCACTTGGTAGTTCCAATTTTTGCATTTTCCATTAAAATAAACATTTTAGAAGGGGTGGCCGGGTGGTCTAGGACACTCTGTATAGTAATCCTCCCAGAAGCTGAAATGAATGATTCGGCTTAAAGTTTTGGAGGGTTGCCAACTGTTTGAAAATTTAATATAATTGACAAGATAAATTAAATATTGCAATTTATTTGGCAACCTAAAGAGGTTTGTGAAAATGTATTGCCGAACATATTTTTGAGGATGGTTAACACATGTTTGAAAAATTTTATTCAATTAAATTGATGATCTAAATTAAATATTACAATACGGGTATTAACCTAAAGAGATTTAAGCAAGCTTATTGTTGAACATATGTTTGAGGCAAGAAGAGGTAGATAATAATGAATAAGTTCTCCTTTTTAAGAAATTGCGCGATACGTAGACTCGAGCTATAGCACTAAAAATTAAACCCCAATGAGAAAGTCGATACTTTACCTACTTTCTAAGAAATTTCGAAAATATATTAGCTAACACTCACATTTATTTCAAAATTTAACTTCAAAAAGTTTTTTAAATCTACATCAAGGCGAATATATATAAGGTGGTATCGATTCAACAAATACAACAATTACTTGTATTTTGTTTTTGGTTTTAGCGGGCCATTGTCAAATTTCAGCTATTCTTCTTCGAATGAAAAAGGGCGACAGAAAATACAAACACTCTCACGTTTTCACTCACTCGCTAACGAAATACAAAATTTTGACAATCAAACGCTACTCACAGCTGATGAAACAACATCACATTATATAAATTCGCCTTGATCTACATATTTAATTTTTTTTTATGAACGAGACCATACGAGTTTTCGGAGGGAGTGACAAAACAAAAATACATACTTTTAAGGCACAGTGAAGCACTCCGGGCATGTGAACTAGCATAGAACATCATCAATGGAGTAATTTGTTGGAAACCAAAACATTTCTATATTTGACTAATTCTTGGTGTTATTCTTTCAACTTTCTTTTCTTGGTGCAGCTGCGAGCTACAGAGTTCCGTTGTTCCAAGAGTTTTTACATGGTCTTTCGAGCGAGATCATGCAGGTTCGGTGGTTCCTGAGACGGGCAGCTGGCAAAGCCGAGCCTCCAATCTACCCCGTTACTCACCACGTCTAGAAATGGCTTCGCTTATGTGCCGCGCGCGGAAGGTCCAGTTTCCCCTCCACGGCGCTTCCGTTGTTCATTGTGACAGAGAGCCGCTTCTTTTATGAACCGCGGGGGGACAGGGGTCCGAAAATCCGGGTGTCCGATTGCGAGGAAATTTCTGGCTTCCGCTACGGCTTTAATTATTTGGCCGCCTTCCATTTTAGGGCGCAGAAATCGGGAATCCGTTCCGGAGCCCGATGCGTACAGAACGTTTCCTCTTTCCGCTTTGCTGCCGACTTGCTGGCTCCAAGGAATTAAGTTAATGGGCTCTTCGTCGGTATGCAACATGGTATGGTACTTATCATGGCATCGGCGGCATCGATCTCGGTTGGTGCACGCTTGTACGCGATGTCACATCGACAGGCAATTGTTGCAGAACCGACCGGGGTATTTGCTCGACATATTATGAACATTGCGAAGCGAGTTTCTCATGGAGTTTATGGTGATTTTGTTACGCACCTTGGCTTAGTCTGAACATTGGAAAACTAAGATTAGTTATGAGTTCGTTCTCAGTTCGATATGCATTGTGGATATCGAAGGTCATTTTCAAACGTTCGCCAAAATGTTTATAGGGTATTTTGAATTTGGGTTTCTAGGTTTTGCATTGATTATATGTTTGTAAATAGTTTCAGTTATAATATTTGCTTAGTGGAAATTCGGCATTAGTCTATGAGTATAGCAAGTTTCAAAGATCTATTATAAAAATTATGCCAACCCTGTTTAATTTTGTTAAAAGAAAAAATCATGCAATTTTTTCCGTTATTGTACACTGTTTCCGCGTGAAAACACCCCCACTGAAATTTTCTGGGGAATATTTTTGTTGAATATGTATTTTAACTCTCTATCGAGTCTAAAAACTTATTTTTCTTCTAAATTTTTCAAAATGAGGCTAAAATGGTCCACACGCGTGAGAAATATTGGGTTAAAATTTGGTTGAAAAATATGTTTTACTTAGTTGCCAAAGGTTTCATGTAAGTAGATACATAAAACTGTCTACAAGCATTAATCAACAACCACA